AAAAAAAAAAAAAAAACGCAGTGGAAGCAACACGCCTCAACAAATGATCACATAAAAAGGTTTGCACAGCTGCAGCAAATCAGTGTCGTGCGTTTACGGCGGTACGGTTTGTTTAAAAAAAAAAATGTAGATAAGGACAAAAGTGTGTTAAAAAAAAAAAACACGTGTGCCTACATGCACTTGTCTGTTAGTAACTTCTCCTCTCTTCAGACCTCCACGTAATGAGAATCCTTCGTGGTTTTTCCTTTTCCAAAGAACTTTTTCTTCAGTCCCCATTTTTTGTTGTTGCTGTTGCTTCCCTTTTTACCATTCGATTTTGGGTCTGCACACGGGGCGAACAACAAATTGTAAACGCATGAACATGCATAAAAATAACACACTGCAATCGCCCATGCGTGTACCATCTGCCACGCTGACCGCCAAATAGAAACTTACTTAGATTGTCCAAGAGGCTATGGTGTGTCCTGACTCCGTCAAAAATGCTCTGCGCAGGAGAAGGGGGGGGGGGAAATAAAATAAAAAATGGAAAAATAAGAAAATGGCAAAATAAGAAAACAGCAAGACGGCATTGCGAATAGGTCCCTATTCTGCGCCACCGCTCCGCCTGTACTCTCTACGAGGCGATCCTCACCTGAGTTGCCATCCAACAGAACGCCGTGTTGACCCACGTTAGGACGCCATAAATAAACATCAGTGAGAATTCCTTCGCGCTGTACGTGAAGATGCTGCGTGGGGGGGAAAAAAACAAGTACGGAAAAGAGTGAGCAAAATGAACATGGGCATCATAACGTGCACATCATAATCAACGTGGGCCGCATAGTCAACGTGGGCGGCACAATAAAGATGGCCAGCTTGCGCTTCAAGCACAGCTCCACGAGATAGTACCCTTCGATAATAATATAAACGGAAATTATGCTAGACACCAAAAGCATCCAATTGTAGAACCTCTGAAAGGGAGACAAAAAAAAGGGGGAGACAAAATTATTTCCTACACTTTTACGTGAGACTTAGGGAAGTACAAACCCATGGGCACACTTGTTAAAATTTTCCTCTTCCATTTCGGCGTTACCAGCAGGGAAGGGATGTATGATTTGCCTGCACATGAGTGGGTGGACAAAAAAAAAAAAAAAAAAAAAATTAAAATAAAATTCTCAACATGAAATAAGAAGCGTCGTGAAATGCGGCAAAAATTGAAAAACTTAGACGCGAGGAGGCACTATAAAATTTTTGCCGTCCCATTTGTCTCACGCGAGAGTTTGCATATTGTCCACGCGCGCTGTATGTTATATGCTTGTCTTCTTTTTTTTTTTTTTGACTCTTACCGATGAAGGAAAAGATGGGGAAGACGCAGAAATAGAAGTTTGTGAAAAGTAGCCACCTGAAAAAAGGTAAAATGAATATGGAAGCAAAGGTGATAATAGATATGATTAAAAGGTCCACATGCATCCACTGGGTGAGGGCAGTTGCTCCACAGACGGGGCTCCCCCCCCCTACCCAATGTGGACACACCAAATGGTTAGCTAAAAAAGGTAATGGGCAAATCAATTGTCCACAAGAAGACTTACCCATAGATAGAGAGCTTGGCTGAAAAGTAGCTGTAGATGAGCAGGATGAAAACAAAAAAAGTGTAAAAGGTCACAAAAAAAATATATTTCCTGCAAAAGGCTTTGATTTTGTCATCAGGTTGGTAGTGGTCGAGACGGTTGCGAATTTGATCCATTTTGGTATTTCAAAAAAAAATGATTATTAATTTGGGGAGGGGTCGGAAGAAGGGCGAGACTCTGTTAAGCGATTGACACTAATCTTGACTTGAATCTTTTAATATGGACGCTGATGTTAACGTTGGGCTTTGGGGTTAGGTAGTGATATCGAGCTGGTACTTACTACTATACTACCATGTTAGCAGAGGCCAGGGCTAGCATATGTCGGTGAAAAAATCAACCTGTGGCACGTCGTAGTGGCAGTAGTTGTATTTGTTGTTTGTGGCGCAGGCACAGAAAGGGAAAACTGCGTTAATGTTTGGGTATACATACGTACATACATACATATATATACATAAGCATAAGTAAGCATATAAATACATGCTTGCATGGAGAGAGGGGGGCTTCAATCTGTTAATTCGTTCGTTCGGCCTTCTTTCACAATTTTTTTTTTTTTTTTTTTT